TGCTAGAGAATTAGGGGGGGGAACATATTTCAGTGATATGGTCAGAAATTATTATTTTATACTGTTGTGTTTCTATGGACAGATTTATCACTAGCCTCTCTCTTTCTTCTGTAGGTGATTGTTTTAAACGGTTGTGGCTCTTTATTTTCTGCATTAGCTACAGTCCTTTGTGATCCAGGGGGTAAGTGGATGGTTGGGAGATGGTTTTATGTTTGCTTTTGCTGGGAAATAATGCATTACTCTGTTTAAATATTGCTTGACAGAAGTGAAACAGTGGAATTGGCATTGGCATATTGCAGAGTTGTTCTTTCCTGCAAGATTGTGCTGTGAAGTTCATGCTCTCTGTGGTTTGTAGATGGACACTTGGTCTCTGTCTGCCTTTCCTGTTTTTGTAGTGCCCTGTTTTAATTTATTAGGCTAAACATGGGCTGTACTTATGTTTACCTGGGTTCTTGCAGGAGATTAAAGAATTGATGTAAAAATAAAGTGGAGGAGAAGTGTTTCCAGAGGGCCTAGCTGTAAAAAAAGCTTTCATGTGTAGCTGAAGTACATTAGAAGAGAGAGGAGGACTGTGACCTGTTGATAACTAATTTTGTTTTGTCCATTCCAGAAGCTGTTCTGATTGCTACTCCCTTTTATGGTGGTATTACCCAGAGTGTCTTTCTCTACGGTAATGTCAAGCTGGTGTATGCTTATTTAGACAGTAAGGTAAGATCTCTGAGGGAAGGGAATACCAACCTCTGTAGTTAAAATATAATTGATACTGGAAAGTGCTGAGCTTTGAGAACCTCTGAAGGCAGTCCTCAGAACAAGGATGGGCTGCAGCCTGTGGACACTTTCCCAATTTATTGCTGGGAAACTGAGCACATAATTTGCAAGAAAGTTGTTCAAGACTAGAAATCTGGATTCCAATCTTGCCCTTTTCTTGTATCTTGCCTTGCAATAATGGCTCTTGAGAAGAAAAAAAAAATGGCCATTTTGAGCTTTGGAGACAGAAGTATGTACTGATAGTCCCAGGGGTGGAAGGGCAGATGGAAATCCTTTTAGTTATTCAAGGATAATCAGAGAATTCTGTGTGTGTGGCCAGCCTATGATGAACATTTCTTTGATTTTATTTATTTATTCTCTCTCTAGTATAAAAGGCCAAGGAGATGGTTACTAGGTCATTATTGTTGGGTTTTTATTTTATTTTGGGGAACATTTGTCAGGGGATTGGCTCAAGGCAGAATCTCTTGAAATAGCTTGGCCTTTTTTTGTCTTTGTGATATCTTTCAGATTACTGGAACAAGCACTCGGCCTTTTCAGCTCACAGTGGAAAAACTGGAAAAAGCCTTGCAGGATGCCCAGGCAGAGGTGAGTTTAGCTGAGCTTTACAGTACCAGTTAAGGCAACAATATGTTTGAGATGGCACATCCCAGAAGGGGCCTGAAGAGCAAAACATTTTCAAAACCTAGCACCTGGCTTTCTGGTTGTCTTTGTAGACCACCTGAGATTGGGCTACTTGCAAACTCAGGAGGAATCCCCCAGTGTCATGTCCGTCCAGTTTTAGTCACAGCAGAAAGGATAAACCACAAGTACCAGACCATTCACAAAGCACTGGAACCTATTCATATCACACACATAAAAAAAATCAACTTGGGCATGCACTAAAAAGTAGGGACTACCCAGGGTTTCTCCTTCAGGAAGGCCAGCTGAGTTACCCCCAAACTGACTGCTCTGCACAGTGGGGCAGATGGACACATTAAGAACACCCAGAGTTTTTGCAGGAGGGAGAGAGGTGCACATCTAGAGAATAAATGCAGATGAGTGTCAGCTTTCTGAAGAATTAGTCTGTAAGTTTTGACATTGTCCTAAGCCCTATATATGTTTAGCTGCATCTTTAGATCATTACCAGCTCTGACATCTGCAGCCAAGTGTGCTCTAGATGAGAACAGTTTGCATCCACATAGCTCAAATTCCTGTCTTTCTTGCCTCATTCATGGGCAATCTTCAGTAATTTGTTACTTCCCAATTACTGATAACACTCGGAGAAAGTTCTCTTCCATGCTGAGAACACGTGAGAGCATCTTTCTCATTAGCTGGTTGATCAGACGGCAGTGGTTGTGGCAGACACCCTCTTTTCAAAATCATCTTGATTCATTCTGTAATATTTTCCTCAGTTCACTTTGCAAGTGATATAATTGTAAAAAAAGATAAATAATAATTAAAAAAAAATTGTAATTTGTGGCTAAAAGCTTTCTCATACAAATCTAACCCTTGAGGTGAAAAGTCACGTTGGATGCTTAAGGGGAATCTTGTGTCATGCTCACTGCTCAAGTAGAGGGACTGCAAATTTATCCCATGATGGGTGCTCTCTTAATACTGCATTATCTGTGTTCTACAGGGTGTCACTGTAAGAGCCTTAATTCTTCTGAATCCTCAAAATCCCCTTGGGGATATCTACTCCTTGTCAGAGCTGCGGGATTACCTGGAATTTGCCAAAAGGTATGTCAGTGTGGAAGGCTGAGGCATCCCGAGTTGGATACGGCTTCCAGAATCTGATGGACTACTCACTGTCCCCGAATTTATTAGTGAATATCTTTTAAGTGAGGCAAACAGTCTGTTCTTCACACACAGCAGTGGGCTGAAGAGAGGAGAGGGGAGTGCTGGGGACAAGGGAACATGGACCATGCAGTTATCTGGAGTGGCAAAGCCAACTTGCATCTCAGAATGCAAGTTATATTTGTTGGTAGTCCCAGCAAACATTATGGTGTTGTGCTTCTCTGTCCTCTTGGTTTATCTGTATGTACAAAGACAAATAAATATATGATACAGGTTTGCAGCTTCATCATGGATCATGGGTACTCTTTGAGATTCAGAATCCGTGAGATTCTGAGTGGATGATGATGCAACTTATCCTAGACAAGTAGTACATACAGGAATTAATTTCACTAGTGCATTGGAAATGACTGAATTTTTATCTCGTTATATGAATCACAGAATCATAGTGGTTGGAAAAGACCTTTAAGATCATCAAGTCCAACCATAAACACAACACTACCAGTTCTACCTCTAAATCATATCCCTGAGCTCCTCATCTACTTGTCTTTTAAATCCCACCAGGGATGGTGACTCCACAGCCTCCCTGGGCAACCTGTTCCAGTGCTTGATAACACTTTGAGTGAAGAAGTTTTTCATCAGATCCAATCTAAACCTCTCCTGGTGCAAGTGGTTTGCAGCGGGTGACAGGTGGATCTATCTCAAATCACTTCAATGTACACCTAATAAACCTTCTGAGTTGTGAAACAAATGCTTTACTTCTGCAAAATATGGTGTCCCTCTTCTTTGTATAAAGCAAGCCTGAACTTACCTCTGCTTCTAAACCAGAAGCAGCCTTCTTTTGTAACCTCTCTTTTGTCCTTTTGCAGACATGAATTGCATGTGATAGTAGATGAGATCTACATGCTGTCAGTTTTTGATGAATCAGCCACGTTTCACAGTGTCCTAGGCATGGACAGGTAAAATCAGCTCCTACTTCCCTGGCCATCTTCCAGTGACAGTTCAACATGATGCCTTGCTGAGAACTTGTGACTGGAAGTTAAGTCATGAGCTAGTGAATTCTGAATCTGCCTTACACTGATTTCTTTTCTTTTTGTAATTTCTGAATGGAAAATGCATTTTGTCAAGTGTAATCTGGCAAGTAAAAAATGGTAGTTAAGTTTTCTCTTGTGGTACACTTTTTGGTATTTGTGTGACAGTTCCCAAAGCTGGAAACAGGTTTTTCATTTGTTGAGAAATGAAACAATTTCACTTTTCTTCCTACCTCAACATTGTTACCTCTTTCCCATGTTTCTGTTGCTACTTGTAAAGACTTTCTGTTGCTGTTTACTTTCTTTTTGATGATACGGTAGTCACGGATCACAGTGTTATTACAGACTGGAGAATGGGTTTTATTAGGTATTGATTTAATGAGGTGAACAAAAATCTCAAATCTCACCTTTTAAAAATACAGTGTGGGTTTGGTTTTGCTTGTTTTTTGGTTTTTTTTAAATCTAATTTACACCAGTGGTGCTATCTTTCTTTTTTTTATGCTAAATTGCAAGGAAATAAAATACACTTGGTTAAGGGTTAGGTTAGCTCAGTGTTGCTGGGCTTGAATTATAGCATTGCAAAAGAAGTTTATCTCCTTCTGCAAAATACTGAGGTTTGAAAGAAAGGAAATTACTTTTAATTCTTGGCAAATACATTGGCACAGGCCTGATTTCTAGCATTGTATATACAAGCTTCATACGTGTAAGAAATCTGGGCGTGAAATCTAGCACTTGCAAGCATCTGTATATCTGAACTATTTAAAAATTGTGTCTAAAACTAGTTCTGGGGAGTTCCTAGCTCGAAAGTTAGGTCAGATGTGAATTTTCCCTACTTGACTGATGTCCCGTGCTGCACTGTCTGTCACTGTGTAATGCTGCCTCTCTGTTTTTGCAATGCTGCACTGGTGATCCAAAAGCTTCAGCACCTATGACACTAACTGCCCATCTGCATCCTTCTACATACAGATTGCCTGATCCACAGCGGACTCATGTGATGTGGGGAATAAGCAAGGTGAGTGCTGGTTGTCATCGTGCTGTGGTTTCCTGGCTGGTTGGGTTGGCTCCTCTGGTGTCCTCGGGTTCCTCAGGCTGGCAAGAAGAGGGCAGTAGTAATAGGATCCTGCTTTTCCCATTCTTCACTGTGAGGGTGGTCAGACACTGGAACAGGTTGCCCAAGGAAGTTGTGGCTGCTCCTCCCTGGAAGTGTTGAAGGCCAGGTTGGATGAGGCTTTGAGCAACCTGGTCTAGTGGAAGGTGTCCCTGCTGATGGCAGGGGGGTTGGAACTGGATGAGCTTTAAGGTCCCTTCCAATCCTAACCATTCTATGATTCTATGATTCCTGTGCAATAAAGTCGTTTCTCTGTGTCTTCCATAGGATTTTGCTGTCTCTGGGATTCGTTTTGGTACTTTATATACAGAGAACCAAGACGTTGCTAATGCAGTGGCTTCTTTGTGTTATTTCCATGGGGTTTGTGGACCTGTCCAGCACAAGGTTGCACAGCTGCTTAGAGACAGAGGTGAGTCAGTAGTTCTATGTGTCTTGGAACAGGATCCCCTCCCTTTACTTTCCCAAGTGGTTTCCTCTTTGTTCAGCTTAATTATCAGTCTCCTGTAATCCTGAATGTAGCATGAGGCTGACAGTTCTACAGAAAAGGACCATTTCTGCAGAGCTCCTGATGAGCAGAATTAGAGGAGCAGAAGTGTGATAGCTGTTTGTATAGAATTAGCCAGGGTTGTGTAGAACCAGCTGAGCAGAAATGAAGAATACAGGCTTGTGGGATAAGAGAAATGGAACTGGATTGCTGGCTTTGTCCTGGATGGAGTGCTTGACAGTCCACAACAACTGAGAGCTATGAATGTAGGGACACTTCCTCAGGAAGGTCAAGAAGATATTCTTCTGCACAGATGAGAAACTGCTAAATAGTTCTTGCTCTCTTTTTTGCTATTTGAGGAAACAGAAAACTAAAAAAGGAGGTGAAGGAGGAGATGGCAAAAGGCACTGTGAGTGTTTCAGAAACTTGAACAGATCTGAATTCTTTCTCAGTTTGTGATTGTTTTTTTTTCTTTTTATCTTCTCCTTCTGGTCAGACTGGATCAACCAGGTGTACCTGAGGGCCAACCATGCCCGCCTCAAAGCTGCCCACACGTATGTGACAGATGAGCTGAAGACACTTGGGGTTCCTTTTCTCAACCGCAATGCAGGCTTCTTTGTCTGGATTGATTTCCGAAAGGTTGGTAGTCTTAGGAACAGAGGCTCCTCCTGGGATGAGGGACGTGGTGCAGCTGCATCTAGAGGGAAGTTGAATATTGCAATAAGCATTTTGTTTTAACAAACCTGTTATCTGATGAGCAGAGGGAAGGGCTGCCTGGTGTTTCTGTCCTTTCTTTTCCTTTTGTCTGCCTGTGCATTTCCCTCCTTGCAGGAATCTTACTGCTCTCAAGCTACTTTCCTCCCCATTTCTTCCTTTATATCACAACTGCTGTACTTCAGAGGTAAAAAGGTGTCTCCCCTGGCCTTTGCAGACCTCATGGGAATCACAAATTCATGAGGATCTCGGTGATTTAGCTTATATGTCACTAACCTCTGGCCCTTCTGCTGACTCTCCTAGTACCTTAGGACAGGCACATTTGAGGAGGAAATGCTGCTCTGGAGGCGTTTTCTGGATAACAAGGTCCTCCTGTCCTGTGGCAAAGCCTTTGAATGCAGCGAACCCGGGTGGTTCCGCATCATCTTTGCTGACAAGACCCATCGGCTGCAGTTAGGTGAGTAATGTTTTCTTCTCTTTTTCCTCTCACCAGAATTTCTGTAGCGCTGTTTCCTCCTCTTCTTAATCCTAAATTTACCCTATTATT